TATATATATATATATATATATATATATATATATATATATACATATTTTTTTTTCCTTTTCCTTAAAATGGTTCTCCACATTAACAGGCAAAGTTGTGTGTGCACCCTCTACAGTGCTGGCACACGCTGTCTGGGGGGCATCCTTCCCAGCCTCAGGAGCCAGCTCCCGCACAGATCACATACCTGTGTGAGAAGAATGTTATCAAATAACAGCTGAGTTTCTGACTGATCTTTAGTGATATCTGCATTGGCATTCATCCCAAAGATTTCCGGTGCTGGGGTCAAGGGCAGAGTCTTTGTGTATTCGATGTAGCTTTTGTGCTGCAAAGATGAATAACAGGAAGTCGGGAGGTTAGAAATCAATTATTCTGTAGAACTTTCTCACTGAACAGAAATGATTTTCAATACTCAAGGTATTGAGTGGATGATCTGTGAGACTAGACATTGAATGCTTTCAATTTCTTTCAATCTGGGCCAAGGTTTAAAAAAAAAAAAGGATATGAACACATTTAGAGAGAAAAAGAAAATGTACTATTCAATTGAAATGGATTTTAAAACAGAGAGAGAAATTTCCTGGCCACTTCATTTAGAAATTTCTTCCAGACAAATCTTTCCATGCTGCATTTTGCTGATGACTATTCTTAATTTATCACAATAACAATATTTTTTCCCTGCTGTATCCTGATTTTTCTGTTTATTCTTATTGTGAGAAATCCTAATAATTCAGAAAAGTAAACATTATCTGTAGTATTATTGGCCTAAGAAAACCACCATTATCATTGTATATCTTTTCATGCACATGCACACACATTTTATGTTTCATTTACATGGACTTCTATCAAAGTTCCATCTTTCTTAATGCTCAGATAATCATATACACTCATATGCATATATAGGGATTGGATGGGTTGGTCATTGATGGTTTTTCCATATGGGTCATGTTATGGGTCACCTGGAAAATCATCACTGGAGATCTTGTTATCCATGACTCCCTATGTTGATCTGCTCCACCCAATCAGTGACCTAAATTCTGGGGTTGATTTTCTTCATCCCATTGATATCTGTCTTCAGCTAGCATTAATCCTAGTGAACGATGGGTTTAGGGTTAGCGGGTTATGCTACCTGCCTCTATTGGGTGTGGCCATGTGTTTAACTTTCAATATGTCCCTTTTTGACTTCTGGGAATAAAATGAGAACCAATTTGGTTGTTCTGGCTGTCCCTGGAAGTCTATTGTGTGATGATCTCAAGGCAGATACACATCTTCCACTTGACAGGATAGGAAAAAATAGAAGGGACCTTGGATTTGCGTGGCAGCTGGGTCTGTGGTTCTGCCACTTAATACCTGTCTGGCTTTGGGTGAGTCAATTAATTTTTTTTTTTTTTAGCTGAGCCATCCTGCCACCTGTTGTCAGCTCAGTGGCAGCTCAGCTTGGGCCAGGACTCGAACTGCTGTTGCTCAGAGCTCCCACTCTTGAGCGAGCTCTTAACCAACTGAGCCACTCGGCCGGCCTCCTGAGTCATTTAATTTTAATGAACTTGCTTTGTCATTTGTAAAAGGGATATAATAATAATACCAATGTTAATTTGATGCGGTAGTGAGATAATTACATGTAAGTGCTTTGTAAATAATTAAAATGATATAAATATTAACTATTATTGTTAATATTATTTTTAACCCCTCTCATGTGTATTTCCATTTTAATTGGAGACAAAGGTTTTTTACCCAAAGGACTGAATTCATGATAATATGATATCAGGTCACTGAGGAAGCTATTCTTGGGTTAGGAACGTTTCTGATACTCCACATTACAGCCAGTAGGAAACCACTAACTCCATCTGTGCATGGGGTTTGCTCTGTCCCTTTAAGACTGAAGAAAGCACTCACAATGGTTAACAAAAAACTAGGCCTCATGAAAAATCACCATTTTCTCTATCAGAGGAATTTCATATTTTACTGTTTTTAGTTTTCTAAAAGGGCATACTTACATCACCAGAAGGAGGAGCAAAATAAATGCCACTTGAGTCGAATTTATAGTTTGGATTTTCAACTAATTCTGGGTTGAAGAATTTGTTCAGAATACTGCGCAGCGTGCGCCGGTCCCAGTCGTCCGTCACTCTGCCTCCATAATTACATTCTCCGGTCATGTATCGCAGAGCATCATAAGGCAGTTCCTAAAATTGAGAGCTCAAGTTGCTCAGCCAGTTAACCAGTTAACAGTTATCAGTTGCACAGGATACAGAATTGTGTGTCTTGTTTGCTTGAATGATTAAATATCTTGTAAAGGTTTGCATTAACACAATTTGTATACTTCCCTGCCAAATGTTGCAATTTTTCACTGGGTCTTTTTCTCATTTTGTGGTTTGTCATTTCCATTCAATTAATGCAGAGAATAGAACTCCTCTATAGCTTACGAACTCACTACTCAACCAACATTAATGGGCCACCTACTATGTGTCAGGCACAAAATGAAACAGGAGCCATGCTTGAAAACATTGCACCACTCAGTGGGTGACAATATGTTAATATGAATGTTAATTTGTTAATTTCCTTCACCACATTTTTATATCCATATATATTTTGACAATCAAAATCACACTGTATATACAAGTTTGCATATAACTTTCCACCAATTCTTATGAGATATCTTTTACTATTTCATAAAATACTTTGAAAATAATATTTTAATAACTCTTTTAATATTGAACACTTCAGTTGCTCTTAATTTTCTACTGGTTTCAATTATTTTTCATTAAATATACATTTCTCAAAGGAAAGGAACTTATAAAAAGCAATTGATTAATGTCACCAAAATGCTTTTTGGACAGACAACAGCAATTGTAGTAATGAGTTTGAAAATCTTTGCTAATTTGAGATTCCAAAGATAATTAAGACTGTGATAATTTGCATTTTTAGAATACTAGTCAGGTTCACATTTTTTTCATATGTTTAATAGCATTTGTTCTATGAACTAGTCTCCTACTCATTTTTTAATTAAAGTTTTACTTTATTTGTATAAGCTGTTTTATAAATTGACCTTTACTTATCATATTGGTGGAAGTATTTTTCCTGTTAATTTGCTTTTTTATTATAGCCTCTTGTATACCAAATTTTTAAATATTTCTGAATGCAAAAGTATTGATTTTTCACATTGCAATTCCTTTTCTCCTAAGCATACTCACACATCTGCCAGCAGTATAGAGAATTCTATTTCTTACGGCTCTCAACAGAACTAAGCAATATCATTCAAGGAAAAAA